AAGATATATTTCTTTTTTTTTTTTTTTTTTTTTTCCCGGAACCAGGGATTGAACTCAGGCCCTTTTGCTTGCCAGGTTACATGAATTCACTACTCTCATGCACTGACTTAGATACCATGAACACTTAGCTACCACTGTCTCCCAGTGGGCTGTGAAGCTTTTTTTTTTTTTTTTCTCTTGTACTGGGTGATGAACTCTGGTCTTTTGCTCAGAACTACATCCCAAGCACCTCTTTTTGAGATTGGTTAGCCTGGCACAGAACTTCCCTGCTCCAGTTACCACAGACTCCTGGAGTGATGTGGGAGAGGCTTCAGCCCCGCCTGCATACAGCCAGGAGAGACGAGGGGTGTTGGCTAGCATGGCCCCCCCGTACTGTAACCCTGCGGTGGAGGTAATTCTGTGCCCTCCCCACTGTGATCTCTCTCTTGGCCTCTGGATGGCCTGAGAAGTCTGTCACTCACATGATCCAGGGTCTGGTTTCTGGAGGGAAAGGGTCAGAGACTGCATCACACACAAGCCTGTCTGACGCTTGTGCCCACTGGGCCCACACATAAACATTTCCAGGGTCCCTCTGCCTTGAAGGCCTCATTGCCCCACAGCACCCCATTGGTCAGGAGAGGTGGTCCCCTGGGCTCGGTTAAACCATGTACCTGGCACTCAGGGCAGTGCCCTCTGCACTTCACCCCTGGGGCAGAGGACAAGGGGACCTAGCCACTTGTCAGGCACACATCTGGCTCCAGCTCCCTGTGGGGTGGGGCTGGAAACCACACCTCCTGCCCCACCTCCCACTGCCTCTCCCAGCCTGCCTGGCAGCAAAGCTGGGGTGGCCGGTGGCGGGTGCCCACTGCTCCACCCTGAGGAGACCCCAGCCCAGGCTTGGCCTCAAACCTTCTGGTGCCCACAGGGGCTGCCAGCCAATGCCAGCCATGGCCAAGTACGTGAAGATCCTCTACGACTTTACAGCCCGCAACGCCAACGAGCTCTCAGTGCAAAAGGATGAGCTTTTAGAGGTGAGGAGTGGGCTGCCCAGGGAGCTGGGGAGGCCAAGGAGACAAGTGTGGGACATGGGGTCAAGCCTGTCTCCAGGGTCCCCAGCACTGGGGTCTGCTAGGTCCACAGGGTGAGGCTCCTGTACGACAGGATGAGGGGATCCCTGCATGGGGACCCCAGGCATGCAGAACCTGGTGCTGGCCCACAGGCTGTGTGCTTGACAGGGGCTTGTCACACCTACCAGAGAGCCTGCGTTCGTACCAAATCTGAATCCAGGCCAATTACTGAGGGACAGAAAACTAAGCAAGGGAGATTGGGGGTTGGGGGAGTGCCTGCATCTACAGCTAGACCCAGAGGCCTCTCCCTCCGAGACTTGGTGGGCTGGGGTCCAGGATAGCGGGATGGCTGTGGGGAGACCCCTGGAGGGCTGGCCTGATGCATTGCCCCTAGGTGCTGGAGGACGGGCGGCAGTGGTGGAAACTGCGCAACCGAAGTGGCCAGGCCGGCTATGTGCCCTGCAACATCCTAGCGGAGGCACGGCCTGAAGATGTCATCTCTGCCCCAGAGCAGGTGGGTGCCCTACGTGTCAGCCTCCCATCCTGAGGTTAGAACTAGTGGCCCCCTCCCTAGGAAGGCTGTTGCAGGGGTTTAGAGATCCTGGTCCTGGGAGGTCCAACAGCTTCCACCTCACCCTTTGCCTGTCACCCTCCCCTACCCCTCTTGGGCAGGCCAGTCAGAGATTCTGGGGTCCTGCCAGCCCTACCCACAAACTGCCCCCGACCTTCGCTGGCAACAAGGATGGTGAGGATTGGCTTAAGCAGAGGTTTATGGGGGCCTTGTGGGCGCGGTTAACCTGGAAGGTGGGTTTTAGTGTTGTGGGCCAGGCTCTCAGGGCGGGGCTGAGCACCTGTGCCCCTAGAGCTGATCCACCACATGGACGAAGTGAATGATGAGCTGGCCAGGAAGATCACCCACTTCAAGATGCAGCAGTCGCGGCCCTTCCGGGTGGAGCGCAGCCAACCCGTGCACCTGCCACTCACCTTTGAGTCAGGGCCCGAGGAAGTCCGAGCCTGGCTGGAGGCCAAAGCCTTCAGCAGCCGGTGAGCAGCGTGGGGTGGTGGGGGGCAGGAGGACTTGGGTGCTGCAGGGGACTCAGGCGGAAGCCTGAGGTGCCAGGCTACCGCACCCACCACCCCACCCTCACACTCCCAGCATCGTGGAGAACCTCGGCATCCTGACTGGCCCCCAGCTTTTCTCACTCAACAAGGACGAACTAAAGAAGGTTTGCGGGGAGGAGGGCGTCCGAGTATATAGCCAGCTCACGATGCAGAAGGCAGTTCTAGAGGTGAGCACCCACACCTCTTCCCGTGCACCCTTATGCTGAGGGACCCTGACCTACAGCTCTAGCTGAGATCTCATCCATCTTCCCTAGAAGCAGCAGAGCGGGTCGGAGCTGGAGGAACTCATGAACAAGTTTCATTCCAAAAGCCAGAGGAGGGTGGAGGACAGCTAGACCTGGCTGTGCCATTGCCTGGATGGGCAGAGGGCTGCACCCTGTGCTGGGCCTACCCCGTGCGTCGGGTGTCCTCTTCATCAGCGTGTTTATTTTGTACCAAGGACGCAGGCCAGGTGGGGCGGGCACTTGCTTCCAGGCCTAGGCCTGGCTGGCCCTCCTCTACCCCCCAGTTAACACACTGCCCACACCAAGGATCAGGGTCAGCCCAAACCTGTGCCCACCCCTGGGTCCTCAGCCACCTATCCCAGACCACAGAACTCCCCAGGGGGATGGAACTCTTGCACTGGCCTCCTGTGCGTGGAGTGCTCTTGGCCCTGGGATGCTGACCCCCAGCCTGCCAGCTTCTGCCTCTGCCTGCTTGTCTTACCCCCACACTCAGAAGGGTTGGAGCTCAGAGCTGGCTGGGCAGTGACCTGGCCTCCAGATTTTCCCCACCCCAGGTGCTTCTGGGAAAGAGCAGCCTGATCAGGGTCTCCAGGAAAGGGCCCCGTCAAGGTCGGAGGGACCTGAGGACTGGCTTCAGACCTCCACAGAGCCCAGAAAGAGCTTCCCCTGACCATGTCCCAGTTCAGTAGAGCCTGCCTGCTATGCTGGTAGCTGTCTGGGGCCCGGAACAAGTGTCACACTCAGAGATGAGACAAGGAGGCTCTGAGGCCATGTCATTAAAACAGTTATCTCCTGGTAGCAGAGTGTCTGTCTCCTGGGGGTAGGATCCTGGGCCCCCTAAGCTGCAACTCTTCTAAGCACTGCAGCAGAAGACAAGAGGTAGAAAAGCTGAGGACCCAGGGCTGCAGGAGCCCGTCCCCTCCACACCTGTCCATAACCCTTGCTGGGGTCTTCCCAAGTCTGACAGGCTCACCGTGTTCAGTTAGTGAGGACCATCGCTGGCTGCTCCTGACCCAGTCTGCAAAGGGGATCCGCCCTCCTGGACAGGGTCCACCTGCCTCACCGAGGTCCTACCCTTGCAGGAGGCCTTTAGCGCCTTCTGCTGGCCACTCCGGGTGTTGCTTGAGTAGCCACTAGGGGGAGCCACAGCCTCCCATCATCGTCCCCCTTGTCCTGTCCCGTCCCCCCCATCCCCCCTCGTTCCCCAACACCACCCCGCTGTGTGTAGGGGGGCTGGCCTGTGTGTTCCCAAAGCTGGCTGGGCCCAGCCCGGGAATCGAGGTCTGGCTGCAGTCTAGGAACTTTACCTGGCAGACCAGGGCTACTGAAGGTACTGAGGGTACCTGGTGGGGCCAGGTGTGCAAGCCATGTCCAAGCCCCTGGGCTGGTCCACTATGAGGCCAGCCTTGCCCAGCACCAGTCCTCAGAAGCCCCTTTTTCGTGTTCAGGCCAGCAGGGTCCAGTGACTCTTCATGCATTTTGTGTCCTCCAAACCATGACCTGGGTGTACTGACCACTGCCCTCCCCAGGCCTAAAGAAGAGTCTAACTTCCTTCTTATCCTGGCCAGCAGCTGTAGCCCAGCCCAGGAGGAAAAGGGGAAGATGGGATGGGGACAGTTTACCCCAGGCCAGGGATGGCCTGGACACCACCTGCTCTCAGAGGGGCCTTCAGGCCTGTGGGATGCCTTACCTTGGGACTGGACAGAGGCGCCCCAGTCTCACCTGGCCCCAGTGTTCTGGTTCCCACCAGGTGGTCTGGGGCTCCAGATGCTACTTCCAGCCTTGGGGACCAGATCCACACCTCTTTCCTTGGCCATCCTGAGTCAATAAGAACACGTCCCTATTGCTTCCAAGGGGCTGCGTCACCTCCAGACCCTCTCAGAAGCAAGACCGGGACATGGATCCATGGGCACCAAGCAGCAAGGGCGCCCACCCACCATGTAAAGAGCCACTCCCCGTCCTAGGTTGCCACTGCCCAGGGCTTGAAGGTTAGAGAGTGACAGTTGTCATCATACACTGAGTATGTCCCTGGAGAGATGGGCCTGCACCGAGTGATGCGCAGAGGGGCCAGGCCGCCTGGGTGGAGGTCAATCAGCATCCCTAGCTCTGGCACAGCTTCTCCCACAGGACCGACTGCGGACATCTGAACATGGGGATGAGGGAGGGGCTGCGTCTCAATCCCAGACCTCCGGGAGGGCGGCAGGAGCTTTGTCCCCCAGCTGCGCCATCACCAAACTCCATGGACAAGGCCCTTCTGTCTGGGGACAAGTGAGTCTTTGTGGCCGCCCACAGCAGGCCTCTGCCATCCATGCCCGTCTGGCCACCCTGGGTGCAAGGGGCTCCCCTCAATGTTCAGGAAGGGTTTTGTCTCTCTTTTTAGAAAATATATGACATAGCGGATGTCTGCCTGAGAAGAGCAGCCAGGCGGGGTGCTGTCCTGCACCCCGTGCAGGTAGTTGCTAGCTGGGGCTGTGGAGGTGGGTAACAGCTGGCCTGCAAGTCAACAGGGGAACCACTCTCTGTGTGTGGAGAAGCAGAAAGGATCCCACCTGCTCCCCAAAAGTAAATGAGCCCCAGAAGTTCTAGGGCAATGTGAGAGGTGGAACTGTCAAGTCCCAGGGAGAAAGCAGAGAGCATCTGAGACACAAGGAAGGACTCCTGTGCCAGCCACAGAACAGGATGGGTTGGGGCGTGGGCTGCCTGGGGCACCAGCCAGCAAGGACAGCCTGCCTCAGTCAGCGTGGGGGTCGGCAGCGCAGCACACAGCCCACCAACAGCACCCACTCGAACACCAGGAGGGGTCAGCTCCTCTCCCCTGGAGGGTCTCACCAGGGCCCAGGGGCAGCAGGGCGAACTCGGGTCTGTGTTCAGTGGGCTTGTGGAGCATGATTTGGGTTGGGTGAGTTGGAGACTTAATTGCCAATGGACATGAACAGGGTTTGAAGTCAGTACAGGCCCATGTCCCAAGTGACTGCTGTCAGGAAGTTTCCACGTACACAAAGCCCATGCAACCTCCTGTCTGCTGTGAGCTTCCTCCTGTGTCGTGGCAGGCCTGCATGGTGAGCAGGGCTTGTGTGACAACAATTGTATTGTGGATATTTTATAAGGAATGGAGCCAGGCCAGGGCATTCATCTGTTATCCTAGCACTCGGGAAGGCTGAAGCAGGGTGATCAAAAATATGAGTCTTGGGGCTGGTGAGATGGCTCAGTGGTCTAAAGCACCTACTTAGAACAAGCTTAGCAAAGCACAGGGACCGTGGTTCAATCCCCCAGCCCCACATGCCAGCCAGCCGCGCCCCCTGGTGGGCTGAGCTGGCCACACACACACACACACACACACACACACAAATAAAAAAAAATATGAGTCTT